ATGAAGTGGATCGACGATTTCTTGCTGGATGGGCGAAAATCTCGTTACGACGAGCCGGGTAAAGCATTGATCATTCCCGGACCTGCTCACAACCCTCAGACTAGAATGACTACTAGGTACGTGCGTACCAACTTACAGACCGTTGCGCTTCATGAGAAGCAAGGTAAGTACGAGCGTGACCGCGAGTACTAAAACTATAGAGAAAACAAGAGAGAACAGAGAAAAACAACAAAGTTAAAATGAACTTCTGACCAAATAGCAGAAGGTTTAAAAGAAAAACAGTCTTAAAATTTACATGCTTGAAATTTTCCCCAATGAAGGGTCATAGCATATACGACCTTCCTTCGGGATTTCGAAACGTTTCTGAAAACTTTCCTTGTCTTGAGATAAGTTGTACAATTCAGTACACAGTGTGTTAGTGTTGATGCCTCCCCCATACCTTTCCTGAACAATTCTACTTATTTCAGGAATGAGGCGAGCATTACTCAGACACCGCAAATTGTCAGCCAATGAAATCCTATACTCCTCCACATGCTGAGGGTTAGTCAGATCATTCCTACCCAATTTGGAAATGACTTTTACAACATCTGGTACAAATGCTATCCTGTCACCGTCTCTTACGACGAACTTGGAACAAAAGGAAAGAGTCTCATATGTTAACACTTTCACCTCAAGATTGAACAACGAACCGTAGGAAGCCGCGAGGCTCCTTTCGAAAGTTTCTGGAGACAAAATGAAACTATCATCGCCCACGAAACCGGCATGAGCCAAATGATTGTATTGGACTCCGTATTGACGGTATAATCGCAACTTCTTCAAATCAAAAGTGCACGCAGCTGCGGTCATGTTCACAAAGGTGTTACCGGCTAGTGTCCAACTAATCCCACTTTTCATTTGCAAATCCACAAACAACTTAACGCCGAATTCTCGACTCATCAACACGGTGTTTCGATGGCTCTCATACATACCACGACACACGTGTTCTGGCACACCCAGTCTTCTGAATATTCCCACGATGATGTTGATGGCAAGCAGGCCCTGGCTTTTGTCATACTTTGAAATGTCCAATTCAGTCTTGCACGAGTGATCCAACAAATCCGGAGGAAAGGATTGTGAAAGTTTATTAGCATATTCTTCTGGAGAGCAGTCTGTGTAGATTGAAAAAGTAGGGTCCAGCACGTGCATCAGTCTATTCATTGCTTTTCGCACATAAGGGCCAAAGAGCGCATTGCACCTTTGGTTTTGTGCAGCTATGACTTGTGGCGCCGAATAAGTGGTTACACAGGCCTGATTGAGTGTCGGTTTGCATGTGGTTTTAATGCTCAGATCGTACTTTTTGAACTCATCATAGGGGAAAGGGGCGTCGTCCGTCATGAGTCCCAGTTTAAAATCTTCTTTGGTTTTGATCCAGTCGTTGAAAGCTTCTTCGTCTATTTGGATAGGTTCTTTCTCAAATTCCGCGAACATATCACTATATTCCGGGGCTATGTAGGTGTCAACAAATACATCAACCATGTGACCTGAAACCCATCCCTCATCAGACAAAGCTCGCAACTTGGCTACGCTACAATTGCGTTGAGCAACGGCATATAGCAACTCCAGGCGAGTCTTGTCACGGATCTTGGGCACAGCTGTTCTTAGCAACGGTGACATTTTATCAAACGAAGGAATGTTTACACTGTTCTTGTTAATGAGAATTTCTACGTTTTCTACTTTGGGTTGATAGGTAGAAGCCTCAAAATGCTTGTGATCATAATCGTAGTTGTGAAGTGAAGCCCCGGGGAAAATTTCGTCATAGACCGTTTGTAGAGCACCAATGTCGGCTACGGTGGCAGCCACGGTCGGAGCCTCCGGATTTTCATCCACAATGTCTTCTCTAGGAACCTCTTGTACCACCATGTCACTTCCTTGTGGCCCAGTGTACAACTCAGCTATATTGGACCTGATAGTCTCAATTACAGCTTTTCTCTTTTCGGGGACACAATCATAGCTCTTTCCTTCACCGTAAGTGAAAAATTTTTCAGGCATGACGGTCAATGGGCCAGCAGCTGTCATTTCACCAAAGCGCCAATAACTCTCATCCACTTCCTGATTCTGATCTCTCTGAGCGAAATGGAGGTACCCTTCCTTCTTCTCCACAGCGTAACTATTGATCTCTTCATCAGAAAGTTTCTGAACTTTAGCTATCCAGTTTGTGGTGGCATCATCAATTGGAGAAATATAGTGGAATTCCTTGGTGTGTCGGGACATCATTACTAATAAGTGACAACGAGAATCGTATATAGTTAATTTTGCTTGGTCAAATCTCATTCCTACCACAATGGGATTTTCGTTGCCTTGATACTCCTGGATGGTATTAGGTTTGTGCTTTTTAATCAAAGACTTCTCTTTGTCATCCTGTTTGTGCACCAGTATCTTTGCATTCTGATTTATTAAGGCTTCAAGCTCTTGATTCGGCGTACGTTTCAAAGATCTGACAACCTTACTGGTACCGTAAATAGCAAAATCATATTCTCCAGAAAGGGCAGCAACCACATCTAATGGAATACGATGTGAAATGTTCAGCGGCTCACCCATTCTTACTATGTTCTCGACAGGGGCCAACGGTGTGGGAGCCTCGGCACGTCGATTGATGAATACAATTTGTTTGTTGTCACCCAATACATGAACGGTTTTTGGTTGGAGAAAGGATAGCAAAATCAAAACATTTTCCAGCATGATGCATAAACACTTCATCAATGAAAAGCCGGTCGCATTTTATATGGCGAGCATACTGATGCTGGTTGAGGTGCGCAGAGCAGCCGAGCGGCAGCCAATCACAGCGCTTTGGTATCGCCTGGGAG